AATAAAACTTTGAAAAAAAAATACACACGCAAGTAAATAAGGATTGGATCACACCCATGTATGATAAAATGTCTTTTGTCAAAAGGCAAGGTGTAAGAATGCAATTTTACAATTACATTTTTTTTTTTTTTTTGGAACCGGGGATTGAACTCAGGCCCTTGTGCTTTTCAGGCAAGCGCTTATTCTACTGAGCCATCTCCCCAGTCCATATGATTAGCATTTTTTTTTTCCCCTGCGGAACCGGGATTGAACTCAGGCCCTTGAGCTTGCCAGGGAAGCGCTTATTCTACTGAGCCATCTCCCCAGCCCTAAGAATGCAATTTTAGAAATAGATTAATTTATATAAAGAAATATTATGAGGCTGTGTTAATGAGACTGTTAGTGTTTCAGCGGCATAAAAATGTAAAATATTTTTGAATCTGTTTGTTAAATAAAAGTATATTCCAACCAAAAAAAAAAAATAACCACTAGGAAGGCAGTATGCAATGTGTTAATTATTGGAACTGTCCCACCAATTTGATTTGAAACTGTCTCACTGCTATCTATTTCTCAATAAAATTATGGAAAAACTTAAAAAGAAAGAGTAGTGCTAAAGGCTTTTATGTTTGCTTTTTTTGGTGTTAAGAAATGTTCAAAGTTAGGGTTTTCATTATTCCTACGGTTCTGATTTTACTGCTATTCTTCATTTGAAACTTATGCTGATGTATTTATTGTCTAAAGGAACATTGGTGTTAACGTTATAGCTCTTTTCCAGAAGACAAAGCCATTTTTATAAAAGCTATTCCTGAAATTCATTATAGACCATAAAAAGATACAAAATAAGATCCTAATAGATACTGAACAGTTTGACTTTCAAACAGTTAAATAAAACTTACATTTTCCATCATGTCATTAATTTCTTCCTCTGCATTTTGAAGTTTGGTTAAAATAGCTGCTCTTTTTAGGTTCAGATATTTAAGTCGTTCCATTACCATCTAAATGTAAAGAACAAATATTGACTACATTGGAATTTGAACATTGAAACATTCTGAAAAAGTGACCAGTTCATGTCTCAACCCATGCTCCAGTATCAGGCTAGAACCCTTGCTTGCTTCCTCTTGGTGCCTGTGGTCTCCTGGCAAGTATTGGTGCTTCTTGGCTTGTTACATCGCTCCAACCTCTACCTCTGCTGTCACAGAGTCATCTTCTCTTCTCAATACTGTATGAGGTCCTACCTGATTAAGAATGACTTCATCTTGGGGCCAGGGAGATGGCTCAGTGGAATAAGTGCTTCCCTGGCAAGCGCAAAGGCCTGAGTTCAATCCCCAGTTTCGCAAAAAAAAAAAAAAAAGAATGACTTCATCTTATCTTGATTACTTAATTCCAAATAAGGTTACACTCATAGGTATTGAGCTTAGGGCTTTAACTTTTTTATTTTTTTAACTAGGGATTGAATCCAGGGCCTTGACACTGAGCTATGTTCCCAGTCCCCCTCCCTCCCTTTCTTTTCCTTCCTTCCTTCCTTCCTTCCTTCCTTCCTTCCTTCCTTTCTTTCTTTCTTTCTTTCTTTTCTTTTTTTCTTTCTTTCTCTCTTTCTGACAGGGTCTCACTAGCTTACTTGGCAATTTCAAACTTGTGATCCTCCAGGCTCGGCTCCCTTGAGGGACACATTTCAAACCGTAATAGTCTCCCCTACGGGCCTCAAATGCTTACATCTTGAGATGTGGACCTATAAGACCTCCTTGGTCAAAGAGAAGGTGACCAAGTTAAGATGAATGTAGATGCTGGAGTAATGCTACTATAAGCCATGAAATGCATAAGGCCATCAAAAGGCAGGAGAGGCAAGGATGGATTCTGGAGTATCTGGAAGGAATATGGTCCTACTTACACCTCGACTTTAGACTTCTAACCTTAAGAACTGTGAGGCAAAAAGTTTCTGTCACTTTAAACTATCCTGTTTGTGATACTTTATCATGGAAATACTAGGAAAAGAATATAGACACTATATAGAAGAATCCAGGTAGGAAAAAAAGAGGCTAATGCACAGAATCTGAGATAAAAGTTGGTAAGACAGACAAAATCCTGGCAGTGCATGGTAGTCTATAGAAGAATATATTATTTGTTCATAATTCAACTTTCCTTCTCTAAGCTTGTTGATTTTTATTTGGGGTACGGTTCACTTCTTTACCTCTCAATGCTGAGGGGAATGTGGCTGTAACTCACTTTGGAAAAATGGAATGTTGGCAGTACAGTACCTGCAGAATACCTGTTTCAAGCTGCAGCCTTCATAGGCTCAGCAAGTTTCAACTAAGCCTCTTGGTATGTCCATCCACTTAAAGTGTGTCCCAGATGTTAAAGAGTGGAGTTTCTGGGTGTATTGAAGAAACTTATGGTGTAAGCTGATGAACTAGATGTGACTATTGGGGGGAGAGGGAACAAGAAAGAAGAGCAGTTAGAAGGATGGTATTAATATTTACAAAAAGTAGAAAACAGAGAAACTAACTGGGAGAAAGTGCTGTTAGAATATTGCCTTGTGCATTTAAATCCAAGATGTCTATAGAACTGAGGGAAAAGGTCTGGTAATAAGAATTTAACAGGTACCAGCAGTCAGAGGGTACTTAAAGTCATTAGACTGGAGGATGCCTCTTCAAGGATGATAGTAGAGAGAGAAAAGCTCATAGAGACTGAGCTCTGGGGTCCTCTAAAACTACAGATTAGAGAATAGGTATGTCCAGTAAGGCATAATGGAACTACTGTGCCATAGGTCCCAGAAGCCAAGGGAGGGAGAGAGCAGGAAGAAGTGATCAGCTGCACCAAATGCTGCTTCTATATTAAATGCAATGAAGACTGAAACAGTGCTGTCTTTGGTTACAAGGTGATCACTGCTGATCTTGGCAAGAGCAACACCTTCAGAGAGGAGCTTTTTCTTGGCTTGGCTCCACCACTAATACTGCTATCATGTCATCACTAATGAGATCCAGTCAGAAATCTGGATATCATCTTTGACTTTTACTAATTCCTAGGTTAAAGTGCTCTTCCAGTCCATTTTTAAAATCTCTCTCAGACCTGTTCTATCCATTCCCAATATACTCTAGATTATACCACCATCTTTTACCTGACTGGCTGCAAAAGCTAGAACTAATCTTCATATCACAAATTGTATTCTCTTTCCATGTTTTAGTTTACATGGAAGTCTGAGTTTGTTCTTAAATGGGAAGAGTATCATTTTCACTCTCTGAATTAAAACTTTTCATGGCTATTAACAGCTGGTGATTAGTTCCAGAGTCTTGACACAATTCTACTCTTCCAGTCCCATTCCTCCCACTTTGCCCTGCTATGTCAGGGTCTTCTATTCTATCCCACAATTTGCTCTGCTCTTTCTTGTGCCTGGGCCTTTACATAGATTCTGTGTGTAGGACAGAACCCTATCCCACCCACCCCTGTCCTAGCCTTCAAGACATGATTCTTACTCTTCCTCTAAGTTCAATTTCAGACAGGTGGCCCTCCTTCCAAGAATGTTTTGTACTTCTTTCATGAGCTCCTATAATACCTTGTACCTCTCAGCCTTAGCTTACATCAGTATTCACTTATTTTGTATTTTTTAGGAAAGAGTCTACAGGGTGTTCAGGGTCTCACTATTAGATCAGACTCATAGCGATCCACCTGTTCACACCCTCCCAAGAGCTGGGACTATAAGCACGTGCAACCATGCCCAGTCTCAATTGCCATCTCAGCGGGCCATGGGGGCAGGGCCGACAAAGCAGGCCCAGGGATCAAACCCCCAGCCCCTGGTTTAATCCACTGAGCTATTTGGCTGGCCCTTACACCATCATTTAAATACTAATCTTTGGCTGGGGAAAAGAGCTCAGTGGTCTAAGTACCTTCCTGGAAAGCAAAAGAACCCAGGATTGATCCCCGGTACTGCACGCCATGCCAGCCCTGGGAACCCCAACATGCTATGCCAACCACTGGAACAGGGTGTGGTGGCACACGCTTATAATCCCAGGATCATGGAGACTGGTACAGGAAGATCAGTACAAGTCCAAGCTGCATAGTGAGAGTCTGTATCAAATAAATAAATAAATAAATAAATAAATAAATAAATAAAACTTAAGATAAATACTGGGGGACCACCCACCTGGGGCACCCCTCATGTCCCTCTCTTGGACAGGAGGTTTCTTTCCTCCAATAAATATATTCTACTTATAACCACCATTTGTTCCTAAAATTCATCAGTTTTAGAGAACATGAACTCATCCCAGGTACCTTTTAGGTTTGGAGATCATTTTTCCCCTATATCATTTGGAGGTCAACCCCCTAGATCAGTTTTTCTCTTTGTATCATTTGGAAGTTCCTGCTGAGATCATTGCACAGAGGTATGAGTTTGATTTTCTTTCATAAATTCTGGATTGGAACTCATTTAGGTAATAATTTTTTTTCTTCAAATGTTGATGTATTTGCCCATTGCTCATAACTGGTCATACTTTGCCTCATACAGCTTTGTCTTATATAGTTCCGCCAAAATTGTTTAAAATTGCTTATGCTTTGTCTTATATGGTTTTGTTAAAATGTTGGCCAAAATGTTGGTAAATCTAAGTTAAAACATGTACATGTTAAAAGGTTATATTTCTTTAATGGGACATTTTATGATTGCCTTGTATTTGTATATGTTGCATTTGAACTAGATGGTAAATGTACTGGTATTCCTTGCTTGACTTTAGACAAGAGCACTAGAGAGAGTAATGTTAGTAAGCCTCCAAGTAGATTTTATATGAACTTCTGTAAAATGGGACTTAAATCTAGCTCAGGCTTAAAAATATACATGCTTGTATATGAAATACAAGGCTTCTTTTGCCAACTAAATGACAGTAGGTCGGCAACTGTTCTTAAAGACTTGGAGAACAGGTTTCACTGAACCAGACTGGCTCTGTTCCTCTTCTAAATGCTAGAGGAAATGTCAGGCTTGCTCTGATTCTTTCCTTTGACCTTACTCCCAATTTTCCAACCTCTTTGTACTTTCCTTTTTACAGGCATGTAAAATTAGACATAGACTGTTCCAACTAAGTGAAGCCCTTAGAAAATGAGCATTTGTTAATGCCAAAAACAGGGAAGTCCTTTAAAAAAAAACATATCCCATATCTGTGTCAGATGAGACAAAGAAGAGCTATGCCCGTGGAGGACACATATAAAAGCCATGTCCCAACTTAGTGTTCTGGGAAGGTCTTTTTCAGGAGGCTAAACCTGAGACACAGTGGAGAGAACCGACTTCTGGGTGACACCAGAAGGAGCAATCTTCAAAAGCAGCATACTTACGGGACCAAAACATACTTAGTCTGAGAGAGGATCTCCAACATTTTCTCCTAGGTCTAATTATTTAGGTGCATAAGAGCTAAGTTGTAGACTTTAAAGCCTTTACTGTAAAGCACTAGGTAATCTTGTTCAGTTTTGCTTTTTTTTTTTGGTGGAACCGGGGATTGAACTCAGGCCTTTGCACTTGCCAGGCAAGCGCATATTCCACTGAGCCATCTCCCCGACCCCAATTCTTGTTCAGGTTTTTAACTATCCCTTATAAAGCTTGGACAAATGGTGGTTACTCTACTGGGTACTAAATGCTCCTAGAGCAGATGCCACTCTTTGAAGCAGAGGACAGGTTTCCCCAGCTGTTCTTTGGTGAATCCCCATTGAAGCCAATGGCTGATGGAATGTTGACCAGAGAGACAGCAGGATTCTTCTCTGGAGACTGATCTCTGGTTGTGTGGGCCAAAAGAAACTGAGAACACCTGAGGGGTCATGGCCATACCCAAAGGTTCCTTCGTGGAAACTGGCTCTTGACCACTGAAAGATCTCCACTTACCTACTGTATTTTTTTTCTGTTTCTGCTAGTAAAGTAGGAATTTTATCTGAGTTTTTCAGTAGAACTTAATGAGTTACTCCAGAAATTAGGCTAAGGCAGCTTACAATAGTTTACATCCTATAGTGGCTATTGGGGATGATT